GCACTTTTTTTCTGTGTTTAGCAGTGAAAACAATAGGACAAGGAATCATAAGTTCCAATTTTGGCAGCGTAAGACAGTTTAGACAGTATTACTTTTCAAACAGAATGTTTGGCTTTTGGAATGAGCTGCCTTCAAGAGTGGTGGAGGTACAAAATTTAACTGAGTTCAAGAAAAGATTGAATGAACACAGAAGTAGTAAGGGGTGGTTATAGTTGGGAGCTGGATAGAACATCCTTGATGGGCTAATATACTCCTTTTTGTCCCTTTAAAATGTTATAGATTTATACATTTAAAACAAAAAATCTTGAATTACTGAAGCTTGAAATGTATATTTCTAATCACGCATGTGCCGTTATAATACCTCAATAACATAAAGTCCAAATGATGAATGACATTTATAAACTCGTTAACATTTTTTAATAGTAAGTGATTGTCAAAAATGTAAAAAAAAATCAAATATTACTACTTCATTTAATGTGCGGTCAAGAAACGATAGGAAGACTCGTGTGAGTTAATGAAAAATTGTTTCATCTTAAACATTTGAAATTTTTAATAGTGAAACATGTTTTTATTCAATAGCAAAAGTTTTATAAAATAAAAATTTAAAACTGAAATAAATATGTTGATAAATCCTCATTTGATGGTTTGTCGAACAAAATTGTTTCAATATCGTAATTAGATGTAACTTGAAAATTCTACAGTTAAATATATTAATTTACATAATACCTCAAGCATCAGCAGAAGATACAGAATACAGAAAAATAAATATTTATTACTTCGCTACCGTTCACCTGAATTATTCACTTTTTTATGCAAATATATCTTACATGGATAAGTACGTATCTGTATACTTGAGTAAAGAAGCTTGTTATGTCAATATAATAATAACTTGGCAAACAACGATTTATACATATAATAACGTTATTTATTTTGGAGGGAAACGTACTAACCGAAGAAGACAACTTAAGTTCTGTCGAAACTTATGCTTAAAAGTCGTTGTTTGTATTTTTTTAATTACCACAGAGGTACATAAAGAAAACTTTCTAATTAAATATACGCTTTGTTTTTTCTTCTTCTTTAAGTGAGAATATCTGCTTAATTGAACTGCCAGATCTGCATGTTTTTGGTTTTTTCTACTTATTTCTTCGATCCTCATTTTTTATATCCTCGTAGACCATAAAGAGACTGAAAATAGATCCACGCCAAAATTGCTCATATTTTCAAATACACGAGTTAAGATATTAACTTGCTTTTTAGTTATTTTTTTTTTAAAACAGACATGCCATTATGAGTTTTTAGTACATATATATTATTTTTAAACTTAAACAGGAAGAAACAGGAGTTTGCTGTTGCGTGTCAATTTAACTGTCTGTCCTTTGCGAGGGAACTGAAAACAGGTCACGTGAGATGTACTTCCTGAGTGAATCATAATGGTGCAGGGTAGAGTGTCAATTAGTAAAGTGTAGTCAAGATTCGTCAAATTTATGAGTAGTCATTTGTAAGTATATGTTACTTTTAATGTAGTTTAGAGCTAAATGTGTATTAATAATTTTGGGCGGCAAATTGTATTCTTATTTCTCCATATAGATTATTAGCTTTAGTAGACTTCCCGTTATCTTGTAAATAAAGGCTTTGAGTGTGGGAAATAGAAGTTAGACTAATGTTACTTCTTAGTATTCAGTTTTAAGGTAGAATACGAAGTTTCAGTTAGGGCAGGGCCCAACTCATGGTAACTCGTGGCATTAACATTACTAGTAATACTAATAGTATACTACTAGTACTAGTATCCCCTACACTTTGACTCGATATTTGCATATTTTGACAATGAATCATTTGATGATGGAACGTTTATAATGTAGTTAACTTTGATCGTTTTAATTATTGGCATTTGGAAATTGTAATTTATAAAAAGTAACTATATGCTAAGCAGACTTATAAGTTATATATTTGATATTTTAATGAAATGACTGTGAATATGATGTAGTAAATTATTAAATGCCAATTCTAAATTTAACTTTCTGTGGAAACAATATGAAGTGAATGGGATCAGTGAATGTTAAGTGTTTATGACTGTCATCCATTTGTTCTGTATTAAGAAACTAAACTTATTACTGTTTTTACAGTCACACTATTCAATCATTATTTCGTATATGAAATAAGCTTAGGTTACTTTTTTTTTTCTAGACATATTTGAAATTTTTACCTAGTGTTTTGTGATATTTCTCTTTTTACATGTAGTGACACTTTTTATTTTAATGTTTTGGAATACTTTATTCATTTATTTTAACATAAATGATGAAATACTGAAAACAAGGGTACATTGGTCCTTCAAGGCTATCCTTGAAAATATACACTGGAAAAATATTTAAACTATCTTTTATTTTTCAAGAAATTATTGGTTGTCCTTACAAACTTGTAAAGTGCTAGCCTTCTCCATTGCAAATGACAATGCATTCCATAACCCAGTCATCCTTTTGGAAAAATAAAACTATCTAAACTGGAACCTAGCTTGTCTTTTTCCAGTTCTTGTTAACAGCAAAAATCATAAAATCATAGTTGTAAAAAATAAATTCTAAATTTATGTACTTGCATCTTTCAGAATATGCACAAATACATTTTATGTATATGAAGAAAGCAATCAACCAACTTTTCAGAACATTAAAGTGTAAGGTCACATATCCAGTCATTTGCATAGTAAAAAGGTCATCTTGATCTTTTTCATGAAATATTGTGGTTATAGTAAAACTGCAGGACACAAGTGTAAGATATCAAAATCTCTGGCATGACTCCCATTAAGGTAGTGTTACTTTTTGGATGGGGCGGCTAGCCTATAGAACAATTTGACCAATTTGAGATCTGATTACAACCAAGGCTTTTGAAGATTCCCTCTAGTGTTGAAATGAAATGAAATAGATACTTCAGGCAGTAGTGTAAAAGGCATTTAACTTAGTGGTTTCTCTCTCTTTCTCTCTTGCTTAACAGTAATACAGTGTAACTCATTACATAACACAGGCCTGCGATGGTTTTATTGTCTTGAAATTTTTACATGTTCTTCAGTAATTCCTGTATGCTGTATCTGAAAATTATATCCATTTCTCTCAATCACGTACAGGTTTTCACAAAACCTTATAACGCAATACATAAAAGAAACACCACAACACAGTTTTAAGACTAAAAGACTAAGATTTCACAACAAAAATCAAGATGAATGAGTATGCATATCTGTTTGACATCAGTGTTCCTCAATTTGTTTGTATTTTTATTAACAAACGTGATAATAAAAAATGTTCATTGTGGTAAATGAAATAACAATTTAATCTAAGTAAGAGTTTTTTTCTTCCTGAATTGTGAAAAATCCTTACATCATAGAAAAAAATGAATATTATTTTTGAAAAATGCATAGCTGAATTATGGAAAATTTATTATTAAAACCAAACCAACTTTTATGAAGTTTAACTTCGCAGATATATGTAATTCTTAAACACATTAAAATACCCACAGTTAACATTTACTTAGTACTCCTAACCTGTGTGTTTAACCTAACTTTTAAGAAAAGTAAGAGGCCTGTTGGTTTGTTGAGGGTTTCCCATCTATTTAAAAAAAAAAAGCAAATCCAATCCATTTATCACGTGCACCCTTAAACACCCTTTAGTTTATTGTTAGGGGAATAAATGGCACATGGCTTTTGATTATGACATATGCAAGGTAATGCATGTACAGTATCTTAATTTGAATTATGAATATACTTTTGACAGGAAGAACCTTAACGGTGTTACTGAAAAAAAAGAATCTTGGTGTTATAGTTGGTCAGTCTCTTAATAAGCCATCCAAGCAATGCGCTGTTGCTAGTGGTAGGGTAAATAGGATTTTAGGTTGTATCTGTGGAAATATTGAATATAAGTCTATAGAAATTGTAATCCTTTGATTATGTAATTGGCTAGACCACGTTTAGAGTATTGTACTTGATCTCAGGCTCCTTACCTTAGGAAGGAAAGTATTTAAAGGAGGGTTACTAGGATACCTGGGATTGAAAGATTGCTGTACGAGGACAGGTTAGAATCTCTAAAGTTGTTTTCTTTTGAAAATAAAGTTTGAAGGGATCTGATTAATGTTTTTCAGATTGTTAAAGGAATTGCTAATGTTGTTGCATCGTAATTTTTTCATACATAACGGTGAGAATGGTAGGAATATGGGATGTAGATATAAGTTTTGGCAGAATAAGAGTCATCTTTAGGTAACATAGCTTTATTTTTCTTACAGAATGGATTACATTCAACTGTAGTAGATGCAGTTAATTTAAGGTAGCTTAAGGGAAGACTTGATAAATATTTGAATGATAAGAGTAGGCTTTGAGTGTTTTAAAGTTTAGTTTAGTGGGTGGGACAGCCTAAACAAACTGCCAGTTCTCATATTGTCCTTAAAGTATATGTTATCTGAAGGCAAACACTTCCAAAAGCCAAACATCGTGATAAATGTAAAACACTGTGGGCTGAAGATGACTTCTACCATGCCAAAATTTATACTTGCATCTCCTTATCCTACTAATCTTATCATTAAATATGATATAAAAAAAAAAGATGATGGATTGATACTTTCAGTTTTTATAATGATCTTGAATTCTCTAACTCTTCATTTTTGCAACAAAAAATATTTTTGGAGATCTTAACCTGTTCTCGTATGACAATCTTTTACATTCCATATATTATTCTAGTATCATTCATCTGAAACCTTTAAAACAAATCTATCCCCTTAAGGTAAGGAGCCTGAAAATTAATCCAGATTAGACATAACCAGTGATCTATACAATGAAATGATAACATCTAGACTTTTATTCAGCATTTCTGTAAATACACCCTTATTTGCCCTACCACTAGAAACAACTCATTGCTTATATGCCTTAATAGACTGATCAACCAAAACACTAAGATTCTTCTCTTATTCCACAATACTGTTAAGGCTATTCCTACCAACATTATAATTAAGTCATCTACCAGTTATTCATCCTCCTCACCAAATGATCTAAATCCATTTGTAAAGCAGCACCATTCTCCTAACAGCCAGCAATGCGCAAGACCTTAGTATTTTTTTTTCATTAATGTAAATCAAAAAAAGTAAAGGTACCAATGCCGAACCCTGAGATGTCCACTTATGGCATTAATCCAGGTTGACCAAATTCCTTTTATGAAACTTTATTCTTTTTTTCCCTCCAGACATTTTTTTTCATCCAATGAGTTTTCTCACACATCCATCAAAATACTTTTTCAATAATGTTTTTATGTGGCTCTTTGTCAAATGCTTTCTGAAAATCCAGAAATCCACACCTTTATTCTCATCAACATAAACAGTAGAGCTGATTGATTAACTCAATTAATTGATATAATCAGTTATCTATGAGTATCGGTTAGTGTCTCATAAATCAGTTGGTTGATAGGAAATACAACAATTAATATCAAGAAAATAATTAACTAATGTTTCCATTATTACTTTTTGTTATTTTATCTATGCAGTGATTGAAATATTACCATTTTGATTTTTCATTATTTTTGATTAATTCAAATTTCTTCAGTTTTATTGATTAATGTCACAATTCATACAAATGATCAAATGAATGATTATTGCTCCATCTATCCAAGTAATCAAAATATCACCATTATATTTATCGTTAACACAAAACAAACACAATCAGCTATTTGCTCTATCCACTGCAGGTATCACAACCCAATTTTTAGCATTATCAATTGTTTTTAGCCATGTCATATAAGAATAATGGAGAATGTTTTTTTCCTAACCTTCACATGAATACTGTCAATTATTTGAATGTAATCTATTAATGATTATTCCATTAGCAAATTTCATTAATTGTCTATCTTTAGCCTCTTCACAAAATGAAAAAAGATTTTTCTCTAGTGAATGAAGCTGACTATTGGAGAAAATTTGTTATCTTTGTTAGATGATTTTGCAAAGCATCTTTTATCAGATTTTCAAATGCTTTTCTCACAACTGATGTAAGACTAATAGGCCAATAATTACCTGTACAGTTCTTATTACTTCTCTTAAAGAGAGAAGTAACATAAGCTTCCCACAAAAGGATGTACAAAAAATACCAAGTGGCTCATACATCCAATCCTTAACCTTGTTCAAATCTCTTAGGAAAGTATCATCTGGCTATGTCCATCTTTAAACTTCTGATTTTAAACTTATAAACTCAATTAATGTGATCATCTTGTTCATCAGACATGTTCTTTAGCAAGTGTTCAGGATAAGGAATACTGGCTGAACTTTTTTTTGAACAGGGTGGTTAGCCTTTGAAATTGATTGCCATCAGATGTGGTAGATGCAACAAGATTGAGTGTGTTCAAGAGAGAACTCTTTGAGGACAATATGTAGTCAGATGGGTGTTTGGTAAAATGAGTGAAACAGCCCTCAAACGTTATACTTCAGATTACAAATGTACATTTTTATGTCTGTAACTTAAAATAATTATAAATATCTGAGTATTGTTTTCTTTTTCTTTAAGTTTAGTACTGAAATATATTTTATAATTCATATTTCATTTCTTTCTCTTTTTTTTTATAGATCGGTGTCACATGAATTTAAAAAATGATGAATCAAAACGGTGCTTCATTCTATTCAGGCAAAGCTCAGTAATTCTGCTGTACTTGGAACTATTTTGTGAGAGTGTAACTCAGTACGTGTGAAGACGGTTTCTTTGGTTAGTGTTGTTAAAAAAGAAATCTTTGAATATGGTGGACGTAGAAGTATCGGAAATCAGGGTGAAAACTGCATATAATGGGTAAGTCCCACTGAGAAAAAGCTGAAAATTTAAATTTTTGGTTATGCATATATATGTATGTGTATGTGTGTAAATATATATGTACATGCACGTATTAAATACAGTACACATAATTTTACAACTAAGAGTTAATTAAAAGAAGTTCATTTTTAATAGAGGTTCATACACGAAGGATTTGTGTGACAGGAACATTGGAGATGTTGAATGGAGAGAGAAAGGTTTAAGTTTGTCTAAAAAGCTTAAATCCTTCAGCTGGGCATTTAACTGTGAGGAAAAGATAATAACACCCTGGGATCGACTTATGGAAATTTTTATTGTGCACGTAGGAAGGCTATTGCACTGTTATATAGACTAATGAGGCCTCATCTATATTGTTGTGTAGTCCTGAGTTTTTTATTACAGGAAGGACACCAGAGTGATAAGAAATACATGGATATTGTTACTAAAGTGACACCTGGTTTAAAGAGATGCTTAGAAATGAACTTAAAGTGGAAGTATGAACTTGACTGGTAAATGAAATGTTAGCTTTAAAAGCCTAGATACAAACTTGTTTTTCGGCAAAGAGAAAAATTTCAATAAAATTGTTCATTAACTTTCCTGATTACTTGATGTGAGCTGTTATTTATTTTAAACATTTGTTGTATATGTATTGGGAAATGAAGGATTGCATTTAATTTAGTTTTACTATTCGTAGTGCTCTTGTATTTACCTTTGACATACTATTCAGCTGAAAATGTTTTTGTTGTTAATGCTGTCTTTATTCTGTAGTAGTTTTTACCTCTTTGTCCTTTCATTTGTCATTTTTTTATTGTTGTCCATTTTTATAAAATCTTTGACCTCCTTATGTATTACTTGAACTGCTCTTCTACAATGTCGGGTGGTTATGTCGCATTGTGGATGTCTTCCAATGCCTCCTTACCTAAAAATGTAACAGAATGGCATTGTTGTACTGATTTTGAAGGGCCTGACCTTACATTCTTTAGTCTCTCTCACTTAATGTGTTAATTGTTGATGATGATTTAGTTGCTACTTGAAAAGATGTTGTTCAGATATTTGTTTCCCTGTGTCCTGTGTGCTAAGGACGAGAAAGCATTAGTCTAAGATTTGCAACAGACAGGTTTGGCTCCAGTTAAGAGTTTTATTTTTTTAACAGGATGGTTGTTAATAGAGCGAGTTAGCATTAGCAGTAGATTGAAGCCAGATTTTACTGGAGTTTAAAAGGGGGAATTAATGATTTCCTAAAGAGTAAATGGGTTGGGTTAAAAATTTTTAATATTCTCAAGGGTGGATGTGCAAGGACAGTCTTGAAGAACCAAATGATCCTTTGTTGTCTATTGTTTGTGTTGAATATTTTGAAGTAGATAACTACCAGGTCCAAAGAGCCTGAATTGCCATGAATAAACAATGGAAGGCACTGCTAGATGCATTTTGGTGGTTTTGAGCACCATTTCTAGTTGTGTTTTGTTTAAACTATAATGTTTTTTGTTGTTTTCGTAATTGTTTGGTTATAATGCCAGTGTGTAAATAACCCAAGGCCAGGTGCCTTATAAGAAAACCCTAATGTGAAATGAATGTGTAGAACATCTACAAAATGTTAGTCAGACATCTAAGAAGAGTATTTAAGGAATATGTCACAAACAATAAAATTGAATGATGAAACTAAATTCTCACTTTTATTTGTGAAGATTGAAAATTATCATCCACCACTCAGATTTGCCAAATAGATACATTGACATTTCAGATTTTGCCAAATAGATGCATTGACATTTCAGGTTTGCCAAATAGATGCATTGACATTTCAGGTTTGCCAAATAGATGCATTGACATTTCAGGTTTGCCAAATAGATGCATTGACATTTCAGGTTTGCCAAATAGATGCATTGACATTTCAGGTTTGCCAAATAGATG